ATGATACAGTGAATAAGTTTTTAATCTTTATCTCATTAAGAAATGAATTTTTTCTATTAAATTAAAAAACATTAGATAGCATGTGGCCCCCGAAAATTTCTTTAAACTTAAAAGCGTTTTATAGTTAATAAATAAATGGGCTCTTTAAAAAAAAGTAACGAGTAAATGAATAAGTTTAATAGCATTATTTCCTATTAAAATAAAGGCAGAATCGATAATTGTTTGGGTCAAGAAGGTAAATATTTATCAGTTTAGATACGTGATAAAAAAATATATTATTTTAAATCGTTTAGAATAGCAATCCAAACATTGTATTTTCCAAAAAATGCATATTTGTGAATTTACCCTATGTTGATGGGATTAATAGCTCCATTGTGTAGGCCCGCAGATTGACAATCATAAAAGAGATCATCTATGACGCTCCCAACGCGTTGAGTTATGTCTCTTTGCACCTCAATTTTCCTATCATCCGTAAGACAATCAACCTTATGTATAAATACTTCAATTTTTATGTTGGGATTTGAACGATAGGCACTATCAATAAATGCACTCAGTCTCTGCAATGCCTGCATATAATCAAGCTGTTTTTAATGTGATATAAAAGTGCAAATTAGAGATCATAAGGATAAGTAAAAAAGAAAATAGCTAGTAAGACAAATACAATTACTTATTAGATAAAAAATAGCGCTGATTTATTGTACAATTACGTCGTAAATTGACAATAGTCTGAGATCTAAATTACCTGTGCATCAATAACAAAAACAATTGCACATGCTTGGCTAAAAAGATAGGGAGACTGGAATACGGCGTCCAGATGGCCTGGTAAGTCCCAAACTTCGTATTTCACAAATGAACATTGAGAAACATCTTAATGATAAATAATTATGTAAAAATGGTCATACCTTGCTTAGTAATTTGATTTGTTGTTTCCAAAAACAGAGTTTCTGTCGGGCTTTTCCCCATAAAAACAACTCCGATTATGGAGCTTTTTCCACTTCTAATGATGTAATAACGTAAACTACAATTTACCGAGGGAGACCCATCAATAAAATTGCCTGTCTTTCTTCGCCACAAATTACGAAATTTTCAGATTCATTTGCAATATCTTCCTGCGAAATACCATATTTGAAAACAGAAGGATAAGAACCATAGCTGTAAAGCTGGTCTTGAGGATGAAAGTGACCGCTCATACAAAGATAGATAGACAAGCGCGAGGAGAGCGCAAATAAAGGTCATTTATTATAAAAAAATATTTCGCTAGACAATATATTTTATATATTAACATCTATGCAAAATAGCTTAAAAATAATACACGACCTTTTTTATAAATGGGCTTTTTGATATGACTTATTGCTTTCCTGGCGAATTTTTTGGACTACAAAGGTTGAATCTACTAAACTAGTTTAATTATGCTAATAAACTAACATACTTATATATATATTTATAAAAAATTCTAAAATATAAAAATTCGAGGAAGCACGCTTAGTTGTTTGATGCAATCACTATATGTACATTAATTATCGCTACACTAATTAAGATGTAGCGACATTTTCATAAATCAGTGTTGACTCTTATCATGTTGTTGGATTTTCTATTTTGATGCCAAAGTTTATGTATGAGCTTGCATCGCTGCTAACCCAAATAGGCTTTCCTGGGAGAAGTGACACTTAACTTGTGTTTAAAATATCTCGGCGCACCGTAAAGCAAATACAATATATATGTCCTGAGCTTACTTTTATCGTGTTACAAACATTATCAACCAAAGCCATTATTTACTAAGATATATGTAGACTGCTAAAGTCCATTATAATCCTTTTATCCTAAGTATGTCTAAAAACTTGGTTTCCAAGAATCCTTTAATTCACTGATTATTAGTTCGCTTTATAGTTGCAAGCTCAGCACGATTCGTTTTATTCACACAAACATCAACTCCTCCAAGGTGATCAGGTAATGCTGACCTACGCATCTCCTTCGACCTACATTTCCATTGAATTGAAAAGTCTACTAACATGAAATATTGATGAGTCTTGCAAACAAATATGTTCTTCAATAGTGTCTTGGTTCATTGTCTGAAATTTAAATCCTAAACAAAAATTGTCTTGCGATTTTATCGAATTTCACAACGTTATTATGGGAAGAATCTTTATCACTCCTTAATCACCTTATGTGACCCAGGGTGCGTTTAGTTCTTATTCATTTGCTTATGTAACCAGGGTTCGAGTTCTTTCATCAATCTTTTAATTATACTATTGTTTTTCTGTATCTTAGGGTAAGCTGTCTTATTCATGGCATTCAGGTCTATCTGCATCTCTTACCTGTTATAGGTTAGGTGCCTAACATAATAGGAAATGCATGCAAATGCAATAGATTTTTATACAAAGTCTCTGGTCTTAATGACCAAATCATGAGATGAGAATATTTGTAATTTCTAAGCACTTATCAATACGCAAAGCGAGCAAAGTTAGGAAACCAGCTGG